GTGAGCTCATGTTTTAGGCAAGTTGATAATGTCAGAGATTCTGATTTCACTAAGAGAACTGTACCCCCAGTGAGTGCAAAGAAGTTTGCAGAAAGCAACAAAGCATATGCCTTTCTTCCTTGGAGAGAATGCTCTGGGTTACAGGCAAAGTCTTGGAATAAGTGTGTGTGGGGATCGCAGTGGAACATTTCTGTTTCCATGTTCTGCCTGAAGAGAAACTGCTGGGCTAGAACTTTTAGATTGACTTACTATAGCAGTTTATCAGTTCTCTTTCATTAGAAAAATGCAGACGTAAAATTCATTACTGAAACACTTGTATCCTTCATTTTGTGTGGCCATATGTGTAATCCAGTTTTCCTTACACTCTATGCCCACCACTGTGTCATTAGAATGGATTTGCCGCCTAGGTTGCTCGCTTGCTCAGTGTGAGCATCATTTAACCTGGAAGACTGAGTACATTTTGTGACATAATGGAATCACTGTGGAGGCAGTTCCGCAGAGGAGGTGAGTATTGCAGCATGGGTTGCTTATTTTATCTATGGCTGGGGGATCCTTACCATTAAAAAATAGGCTGAAAGTTGGGCTTTAAAACAACTTTATTTTGTGAACTCCTTTGTTTTGTCATTCTTCTCTACTGTTATGGTGTTTATTCCTCTTAGGGCTCATTTATACAGATGTACACATCCGTATGGCATGCACGCCTGTGCAGAGACCTGCTCCCGGGAGAGACAGGTACTGTACGTAATTGCATGCAGCCACCCTATTAGAGTACTCGACTACACGCCGACCTGAACCTGCACATACGTGCAGGTCCGGGTGCCTGCACTTGGACGCAGACAGTGTATGTCCCAAGTGTTGGCACCGGACCTGCATGGTTATTATGTAGCTACGTCCTCCCATAGGGAGGTACAGGAGGCTGCACACAGTTACCAGCAGCACCTGTCCCTCCCAGAAGCAGGTTTCTGTACGGATGTGTAAGCCTATGTGAATGTACACTAAAAATGCAAATCTTGCTTTTACTTTACTTACTCCTCATAACTGTGTTGCCTGTTGCCCAGCACTGAATAGTAATCAGTGTTTGAAAAAACAGAAACAAATGTCAAATGGTGCTCACAGTAAAATAAATCACTTTGAGATACATACAGTAAGAAAGCATGTGGCTTGGCAGAATACATCACTTGTTTTCTTAGATTTTACCATAGAATTCTTTTCCTAATTTTCAGACACTTAAAGACCCGCCTTCCATCTCTTCCATCTGCAGTGCAGGCAGAATACAACATACAATTTGTACAAAGCAATTCTGTATTTAAATATGGCATTTGAACTGGCAGAAGGCCCATTACATCCCCCTTAGAGGTGTTGTCTGTATATCTACGTACTTTATCCTGGAATTTCCTGTTCTCTGTCTCTCACTATGTTCTCAGCTTTCAGAGTACTGTCCTGGCACTGCCCCTTGTCTAGTTACAGAGTGGGGCGGCTGGTACCCTCTAGTGAAAAGAAACAGAACTGCATGTCCAGTTGCTGGTTATGCTTTATTTGGTAAATGCCAAATGTTAACGATAAACATAAAACCAAGTCTAGAAGATATACACACACTATTTTACTGCTGTGTGGAGAAATGAAGCATGTTTTTCTGTACTGTGTGCTCGTACCAATTTTCTCCAAAATAAATAGACATGTATACTTGTTTGGGAAGGGCACGTTCGTGGTCTCTCGTGTGTTGTGTATGCTTTAATGTTCCAATAAATTAATAATAATTTATACTACTAGACAGTTCAAGTTTAAAAAAGAATGACAATCTATTGGGAAAAAAGGATTAAAAAAACCTAAAAGCTCTGTGAGTCACTAAGTAGAGCCATTTTTTACTTTTATCCCTTTCTTGCAATGGAAAAACACATAGAAAGCTAGCCCTGTGCCTGACACTCTGAAGGGTCTGTGTCCATTCTCATTATTACCACATGCAGTTGGAATGGGAAAGCTCCTTATGTAGCATGGCCTCATACTGATGCAGGTATGTTTAGCTAAAAAGAGAGCTGTTCATGTCTTTTTTTTTTTAAAGTTTTTATTCTTCCTGTGCCTGAATTTTCCAGGCATTTACATGTCACAACAGCCTTGTTTAGTAACTGCAAACTGCTAAAACAGGTTTTACGGACCACTGTCACTGTGCAACTGCTAGCATATTGGGAGCCTATTTGCACCTAATGCATTTAGTGGATTTCACCATATATTAGAAAAATCTAGTTAGCCCTAGCGTCACAACAGACCATAGATCCATTTACTTCTGGCTTAAAGAAAGGCTCTGAACGTAATCCGTATGAGAAATCTAGATAGAATTTGTATGTTATAAAGGTGCTTTACTGCCCTGAAATTGATATGCAACCTAAGAGAGAATGGCAGCTTCTCTAAGCCTTTTCCATAGGCAAGAGGTGATCATAAGCCAGTCCTACTGTTGCACATCAGACCTATGTGACACAGCTGGCTGACACTTTTGTATTCTTTCAGATCTCAGTTGTGGAAGGGGTATCTGCCTGCTCTTCTCTCTTTTTCTTTGTGTGCCCAGGCAATCTTATTATGTATCTTTGTAACGTTATCACAGATTGCCTGCATTAGTGTCTATGGTCTGCATAAGATAGGTACTAAAGCGGAACTGCAGCCAACAATCAGAGGCAGAGAAAGGGTTTTGAACCTTGATCAGGTTATTACTATGCCCCTAATGGGGAGATTTACCCTTATTTTCTGTGTAGTTTGTCCCTGTTGACATGAAATGCCAAGAAATGAAATGAGCAGAATCTCTCCAGTGGAGCAGAGACAGTGAATTAAAGGTTTTGGGAGGGGGGGTGATTTGAGTCCTGGATAAGAAAACCGTTGAACATAAGGAATAATTGAAATGTGGATTGGCATTAGGATGGCCCTGGCCATAAAGGCAGGAAAAGCCCTGCTCTGAGGCATGATTTCTGTTTTTAAAAGTTTAAAATGGAATGCAAACTCACGGTAAAGTACATCCCAAGAACAACATTTGAATATATTGCAGTTTTACAAGTCCTTAGATGTGGGGTGCATTAGTGTTATTTTTTTCAGGCTTTGTTTTTTTATTTGGTGGTTTTGCCAGCAACACACTTCCTGTCCTAGGGTGACAACGCTCACGCATAGTACTGTATCTATGGAGAAGCAGCATTGTCACCCTAGGACATGATTACAAACACCTCCCATTCTTCTTTAAAACATAGGGGGTGAGGTTCTTTAGTCCTCAGAGATAGCTTGGAACAATGTACATAAAGGATAATAAAGGACTAGCACAGGGCCATCAGCTGACAAGATTCAGGCAAGATCAAAATATATTTTTGTGCTCATCAAACAGAGTAATACATTGTTTTTAGTAGTATATGTAACAAGCCAAAAGAAAGCAATGAACAGAAATGAATTGTTAGGGTTTACATACCCTTTAAGCTACAGGATAGATTACCTATATAAAAAAATATTTATAACTGTTATTTATTTGTATGAGGTCCATGATTTTTTATAATTGGCTCTATATATGTCTTAACCTCCCTGGCGGTATGATTATGCAGGATTTTAGCATGCCAAAGCAGTACATTGTTTTTCATGGCAATTTGTTGTTTTATATTGTAGGCCTGTAATTCTTAGTAAATCTTAGGAATAACTCACCTAAATCTGTCCAAACAAGAGTCCAGTAGACATCCCGGGTATGATAAAGTTTGAAACACGAAATTAAAAAATGATCATATAATGAATAATTCTAAGAAATTATAATATAATAAATAATTATAAAAAATTATAATATAATAATTTAAAAAAATGGTCCAGTAAATGGGATTCTGGGGGCGCAGCCTGATCCGTACCACAGTCAATAAAGTACCAAGTTCGCACATCACTGAGCTCG